ATAAGTCAGCAGTTCGTTTGCTTTACCACTCCTGTATCTTTCCTTGTACCATAGCCATAATCTGGTGAATTGTGTAGGTTCTGGTTATGCCTTCGGGAGAATCAGGGACTGTACGCTCGTTAGAACGTGACTCTCAGGCTTGTGCAATTGCAAGGGCTGGAGACAATGTGGCTGTTACTTTGCAAGGCATTGATGGAGGTCGTGTGATGGCAGGAGGTGTGCTCTGTCACCCAAGTTTTCCAGTTGCAGTTGCAAAACATTTGGAATTGAAGGTGCTTGTTTTGGATGTTACAACCCCGATTTTAATTGGCTCTCAGGTGTGTATTTCATTTGCATGAAAATTTTACTTTTCTTTTTGCGCCACTCTTTTTGTGGAAATCAAATATATAATACATCTGGAATGAGCAGTTGGAATTCCACATACACCATGCGAAGGAGGCTGCGAGAGTGGTAAAGATTTCATCATTGCTTGATCCAAAGACTGGAAAAGTGACAAGAAAGGCTCCTCGCTGTCTTACTGCAAAGCAGAGCGCGGTCATAGAGGTGAATAAAATCAAAACCATTGCTGCTCTTTCAGTTTACAGTTTACAGGTTAACCTCACTGTACTTTTGGTAGTAACAGTAACATTATTCCGATCCTTTCCTGCCCGTATTTCAGGTAATTCTTCATGCACCGGTTTGTGTTGAAGAGTTCTCCAACTCCAGAGCCCTTGGGAGGGCCTTTTTGAGGGCGTTAGGAAGCACTATTGCTGTCGGTGTTGTAACCCGGATTATAGAGGAGCAGAAGTAGTTCGCGCGCAGTTACGATTGTGTGCTACGAGAATTGGATCGACTGGTCATACACTCTACCAACCCGCAATGCGGTTCCGGGGATTAGGTCAGTTTTTGGTAGTGGCGGATAATTTTGGGGTTTGATAGGAATTTCGAGGTTCGGTTGTTGTATGTGCATTCAGTAGTCTCGGCTCATAAACTATATATACACATGCACGCACCAAGTGGTTTGTACCTTGTTGAGGACCTATATAGGTAATTTGCAATATTTTTTGGTTCTTTCAAATATTTACGTGAAATGAAAATTAATCAGGGTTTCGTGTATAATTTTTTTCTTAACTGCATTTATCCCTGCATCCGACGTCATTTCAAATCCTCCGTTCTTACAGTAATTTTTCTTAACTGCGGTCGTAGGAGGATTGGTTTCTGGATTTTGGCCTAATTATTGGTCTCCGAGTTAGAAGTCCGGGAGTATTGGTTCTTAATCTTGTCACAGCCTAAACTTTGTTAAAAGAATCATTTCTCCACATTGCGATAAATTAATTAATAATATCTGCTAATTATCGTTTGCTCCTCGTAAAACATTTTTAATTAATTGATTATATAAATTTTCTTAACTCTTTCGTTTGCACGAGATGAAATCCATGATACCGTAGGATCTTCTATAAAATTCTTCTGATGTCATATTAATGAAAAAGAAAATTAAATAATTGAGCAAATGAATAAATAAAATCGACTTAGTTTCTTCTTTCACATTCATTTATTGTAATTAAATATAAATATTAGATATTGGAACCAGCCACTTGCCGTGTTATTTGAATTGATCTCTAATTAAACAATGGGACTAAAATCATGAAAATCATTATCATTTAACACTTGCACGTCTAATTCCGCCAAACATGACTATTTTTATATTTAAGCACTAAAAACCAGCAATCTCACTTTCTTATATGCATTATTTTTTGAGGTTGTTGTGGGTATGAACAATTCTCACACAATAACTGAACACTAAGAGCTGACATGAGTATATTGTCATTGTGATTGAACTGTAAAAGAGGTTTGTCACATCTAATTCGACAATATTTGTCCGCTTTTAAGACGTCACGTGTTCTCATACAACGTTATGTGAATAAAGTTTACACATGCGTCTCATTGATATACGATATCAAGATTGTGTGCACGAATTGTGAAAGTCTTTTTTATATCATTCATGTCACGCACATAAATTTTCTCAACCTAAAATTTAAATTTAAAAGTCATGTCTTGCATTTTTTAATTTTTCTTTCACGATGAGTGATTTGTAAAATTAATAATTAGGTTTTACATATAAATATTTAATGAATTTTTATATCAGTTAAATCTTGTATAGAACTCGTACTATTAAATGTTACGCACCATCATGAGAGTGTCATTTTAACGTAAATATTTTAGTCCGTGCTTTTACGCCAAAGAAATGAATGACAAAAGAGTAGCTTTTGACTTTGGAGAAGGTGCGACTGTGCGAGGAGGAGGCTTGACTTTCCAGGCATGCAATGCAAATGCAGTAACGCCAACCGTGTGGGCACAACCCGTCGCCTCACAAATCACAATTTCACACGCCAACCTTTTGAAAGTCAAATCCATTCTTTTCGTTTTTTGTCAACTTCAGTTAATGTTTTTTCTTTTTGAGCACATTAATATGGTTTTACATTAAGAAGAGTGAGAATTTGACTAAAACGTTGAGCAATCTAATTTGGTATTGAATTCGTGATTCACGAGATTCGAACCTAAGACCTCTTATTTTCAAATAAAGAGGAGTATTACCAAACTATAGTATTGCGTGATAACTTCAATTCATATTTGATCAGCCATATAAAATAATTTTTATTTTTTCAAAATATGATCTTTTACGTTTCTTTTTAACCTGAAAAAAAAATGTTATTAAAACAAATCACGTCGTATATTAAATTCACACATACCAAATTGTAATAAAGAATAACAAAGAGAAAAAAAAATTAAAATAAATGCAAAACTGATTACAAGGATGTCTCAGTCCAAAATAAAACCATCTTTTACTTAGAAGTCGAGGACTGTTAACTCCTTCTGCTCTCCTCTCTTCGTGCCTCTTCTCATAACCTTGAAAAAAATATATATAAACCACCATACTATGGAGGTGTCGGCGTCGACATATCCATATTAAACTACTGTGAAATTCTAGTAACAAATTGTCCATAATTTTGCTGAATTAAGTACAACTCTCCACTGTCCACTCCACTCCCCACATCACAAAGTGTGAACGCTAATGGATTCTGTCATTCTCACATGAGCTTTGGTCAAAGCAAAAGGGCATAACAGTCATTTAGTCGAAAAATTGATGTGTGACTTTACCTTGTATATATGAATATTTATGATATACGTAAACGTTTTCTTGATCACCTGATTAATTAAAAATGTATGATTACTCATTGTTAAATTGATATAAAAAATGAAGTGAATGTGCTTTGAATTCTTTCACCTAACAAATTTAAGAACGAACGATCATGAATTTTTGGACAACCAGATGATCAAAAGAACGGAACTCATGCAATAGTGGTATATATATCTATCTTTTGGAAAAGATGAAAACCGATCTATCTTTTGGAAAAGATGAAAACCGAGAAAAAAAGTAGAAAAGAGAAAGAGAGACCCTACCAACCTACTCCTCCCAAAGCTGACCTCTCCCAATCACACACAAAACATAAACAAAAGAGAGAGACCAAGAAAGAATGCTCTCTTTACTCTCATAGAACTTTGAACAAAGACCAAAAAAATACAATAAAATCTCTCTCATTCCTGAGGCCCTCTGTCTCCTCCTCCTTGGTCTCCATCTCCACTTTGGGTTTTCCCCCATTTTTCAATCGAAGATTCTCATATATTAGGTGAGACCCAGGTTCCCAATTCTCTCTCTATTTTCTGGGTTTCTTTTGCCCTTTCAGATTGATACTTTGGTTGTGAATTTGGGTTGATTTTATTGGTTTTTGTTGATTTTACTGGATACCCATTAGAGTAAAGTTTTCATCTTTTAACTTTTCACCACCGATTTTGCTGCCTTGGGTTGTTGGGATCATTTCTCTGTTGACTGATTAACCCATGTTTTGGTTTGATCAGTTTTTGTGATTACTTGCCGGTTCTGATTCATATTGTGTCAGAACAACTGTGATTCTTTGTTGTTTATGCTGGATGTTAATCAATTTGTTTAATTTGAATGATTTTGGGCTGATTAATTTATTTTTAATATCCATACAGCTTAATCGATGTTTTCTAATTCGATATAGTTACTTGGGTTTGCCTGTTCTAATGTGTCAAGATATTTGGTTGTTGAATTTGATTGGATGATATATATTGATTGAGTAGGCTGAAGGAATCGCTTGTGGAAATTGATTTTCTGCGATGGCTGTTTGCTTCTGTTGACTTTTCTTAAGGGTTGAACTAATCAACATTCAACCTCGAGAATTTGACCAGCAGACAGTGTAACCTATTGGCTACTGAAACCAACTCAGAAGAAGGAAACAGACGAATTGAGATTATATATATTGTGTTCTATGTTGTTTGGTTACTCTGCTTGGCTAAATCCATACAGTTGACCTGCTTCCTTTCGATTCAAAGGATACTGAACATACTTTACTTTCCTTAGTGACCTTGCTGCGCATTTGGATCATAATTTTTTTTGGTATTATGCTAATCTAACAGAAAGTTTTTTTGATGGGTTGTACTGGTTTCAGTATATTTTTTTGAAAACTGGTCTTACTTGGCTCATTACAACTGATCCTTGTTAGAGTAATGTCTATAAACTCATCCTTCTCATAACCCCCGTACGTGGTCCCTCTTTCTCAATATATATCATTTATATGGTTCCTCTAATGTGCTTTAATAGCCATAGTCATTGGAAATTTTGTTTTTAATTCTAGGTTATTGAAGTTTTTTTTTTTCCAAAGAGTGTAGAATATGGTGAGCAATTTTGCATTTCTTCATCTTCCTAGCTTTGCCGTACTCTATTCATTCATACTTATGTGATCCTTTACTGTGCAGAGCCTCATATAGGATGCTATCATATTGGATCAGTGGCTTTTAACCTGGAAGATTGGTTAGTCTATGCTCAGAGTTTCCATTGTTTAAGTGGTGCTTCTGATCCGGTGCATGCCATGTGCTTGTGTTAATTCTAAGCAATATCCCCTGTCATGGCCTTTGAAGCTAATCAAAGAGGGCTTCAACCCTGTTTAATCAATATGGATGATATTGAGTTAAATGTAAACTGGGAAGACGTGAATTGTCCTATATGTTTGGACTTTCCTCACAACGGTGTACTACTTCAGTGCTCATCTTATGAGAAAGGGTGCCGTCCTTTTGTTTGTGACACAGACCACTTACACTCCAATTGTTTAGACCGCTTCAAAAGTGCATATGGTATGTCATCTCCTTCAAAACCAGTTGTGAATCCTGTGGAAAATACTGAGCCAAAGGCATCAGAAGATGATTGCAAGCCTACTTGTCCTTTGTGTAGGGGGGAAGTTACTGGGTGGGTTGTTGTTGACAAGGCTCGTGCACATCTCGATGTGAAGAAGCGTTGTTGTGAGGAGCATCGATGTACATTTATGGGTTCGTATTTGGAATTACAAAAACATGCTCAGCTGGAGCACCCTCATTCTCGTCCTTCAAAGATTGATCCTGCTCGGCAGCTTGATTGGGAAAATTTCCAGCAGTCCTCCGAGATCATAGATGTTTTGAGCACTATACATTCAGAAGTCCCTCGCGGGGTGGTTTTAGGAGACTATGTGATTGAATATGGTGATGATGAGACTGGAGATGAATTTGAGGACTTCCATGGGGATGAACGCAACTGGTGGACTTCCTGCATCTTATATCAGGTTTTTGATAACTTAAGGAATTCTAGAAACAGAAGAAGGTCAAGAGTTGGTGACACAAGAAGAGGAAGTCGCCGAGCAAGCTCTGATAATTCAAATTCTGATGAAGGTTCTGTGACATCTGTTGAATTCCCAGAGTATAGGGCAGATGAGATGGATGATGAGTTTATGAGTACAACTGGCCCCTCCAGAGGTGGCTCTAGTTATCGCAGGTCTGTAATGTTTCTTTTTCATTTCCTGTATGGCATTTCTTTAGATTTTAATTGTTGACATCATTTATCTGTATGATGGTATCTTTTTGTTTCTACGTCATTTTTTAAAAATCAAAATGGAATCTGTAACTCATCATGTTATGCTATGCATCCCCGAGCAATCATCGTTAATGACTATTACACTAGTGCGAGAAATCTAATCCCCCATCTTTTCTGAAATTCCCTTAAACAAATGCACCATTTGATTCATTTCCTTGTTGGACTGATTGTGCCAGTAGGAATCTCTTTAAGTGCAGCTTTTGGAGAGCTCAATACTGGCACATACATGTACATACCGCTGAGCATACGGCTCTTGTTTAACTTCCGTATAAGATTGTAGAATTCATTTGTTTCATGTCTTTTCCTAACATTTATGCATATTTCTCTTTTATTTGCAGTTCCCGTAGACGTCGTTCTCGCTTCTATGACAATTAGGTAAGTTGATACATTCGTTCACTCTCAAGTTTTCACAGAATTAGAAAGTTGTTTAACAGACTAATCTGGGCCTTAATATCTAAAAGACCGACTCATTTTCTGTGTGGCGTTAGGTTTGTAGCCCTCAAGCTCTCGTCTTTCATATAATAAACCGAAGTTACGGTACATCTATCAATTTCATACGACGTGTATTGTATCCTCTGGCAGGGCGTAACTAGAATAGAAGAAGTGAAGGAAGGAAAGAAAGAACGAGATCCATGGGAAGACAGAGGAAGTGGATTGGCACTGAGATGGGATGCTTGCTGTGGATCTCATCTCTTGAGTGGTTTTACATGTAAAAGAAAAGCTACATCTGGATTGTACATTGTTGAATCTGTTATGAGATGTGCTGATTGCTTCTAATCTTATTAGTTTTTCATTCGACCTTCGCTACATAATCCCCATGGCCTTCATTCTTCCTTGCCTAGGTAGACGAGGACATGATTATTATTTTTCCCTCTATGTTCCTTGTTTGCAATCTTGATCAATTTCTCACTAATGATGTTTGTGGACGGTAATTTAGTATGTAATTACTTTTTGTTTTTGGCAACTTGGTGCAAAGGCCCAACGTACTTACCAAACAAGGATACTGTTTGACTCCTTACATATGAAGAACTGCTTCGTCTGCAAAGAAATGAAACACTAGTAGAATTCTCGTGATAAATGTAATCCGATAAAAGATTCATAAGCGGTTGTTAATGGAGTTGAAGCTACCAAATTTTGAGGAGTCGGTATCAGTTTATGCATAATTTACAAATCATTTTTCGAATGATTCATATCATCACGGTAGCCCTTCCAAATTTTATTCCGATCAAAACAGGAGGTTCTCCAATCGGAGATCTCTGGATCACTGGCCGTTCGCCTCCGAAAGCAGGCGAGGAGAGTCGATATTTGAGTCACATCTTCGAATTCGAGATGTGGCCTTTTCTCATCTCTCAAATTGGACATTGAATTTCTACTACACATCAAATTTAAAAGAAATGAATGCTGCAAAGGAAGCAGCAGGAGGACTTCCAATAAAATACGCATATCCATTTCTCACGCCATAATAGTTTGCATAACATTGCTATTTGGTAAAATTGTAGTTCATGCAAACAAAATATTGCCACTTGCTAGCTATGAAGACTCAAACGAATACCCATGATACTACTTCATCAAAAACTTACAGGCTCACATATCGATACCCTGTTCAACTCCAGAGATATGAGGTGCTGAGGACTAATATGTGCAGTTCTTGGGTAGGTTCCGGATGACGTTGCTTTTCATTCCCATCTTACTGCGCATTGCCTCCACTCCCGATCTTCTCATTTCCTTCAGTACCTTCATCCTGACCATTCGTTCTTTTGACTGCACCGTTGCCAACCCCATGCTCCTGTACCTGAAAATAAGAAAACAATTCTGCTGTCAAATGATTTGTTCTCTTTGTATATTGTTTATGCTGAATACAGGGGACGCATCAATCGACTCAAAATTCTATTGTAAAAACAACAGACAAGACCCACAAACCTGGAGGCTAATGCAGCCGTAATAGCGGCACCATTCGCAGGTGATGGGCGCAGTTTTTGGCGATAATAGCGCAAATACTCCCGGGAACCAAGTGTTTTGGATGATATACCATCATCGGATCTTCTAGTAATGATGAGCTCAGAGCCACCGCTCCCAAGTTCTACGCTGTTGGCCATATCACCGGATACAACCAGTTGTTTGCCAGCATCATCCACATAACTGAAAACCGAGAGAGAAGCAGTTCAGCTAAGACATACCAACATGTATAGAGCAAAGTAATACCTAGAACAAATTAACGTGATCAAATAACCATAAACAGAATTAAATAAACGCAACATATGGGAAGGACAAAACCTGCTGCTGTAATCATAGAACTCTTCCAACTCAGCTTCTTCTTCATCGTCGTCATCGCCATAATGTACCTTGCAGTGGCTTTTGGCCACCATATGCTTCCTAACCGCTTCCAAACTGTTGAAAGGATGGCGCCTATCATTGCAGTACAGACACATGAAATCCCTTTTAACCTGAAATGTAAGACAGGAAAACCCAACGAATTACCAAAGAGTCCAAAACGGGAAAACGTTTATCCAGGAAAGGAATGTAGAACATGTTTCGGTACCTTAAGACCAAGATAAGTAAGGAGGCCTTTTGGATCCTTTAAATACTCAATATCAGGAATGAAGAATCCATGGTGTTTGTGCATGTGAACCATGCAGCTCTCTAGGGTATCGTGCTTTAGATCACACATAAAGCAACAAGTTGGATCCAACTCCTCAAAGTCATCATCTTCATCCATATCCTCTTCAGATGCATGCTCATCCACATTCATACCAGTCAAAGATTTTGCCAAATCTTTGTCAGGATCGACCTCCACCCACTCATCTTCGCTTTCATCAGTTTCCTCATCATTTGCCTCTGTTTTCAGGGGAGCTTTGTTAACAACACGAGGCGGAAGCGGCCTAATTATTGCCTTCTCTTCTTGTTCACTGGCCCCCTGGGATGCCCGCAGAATGTGACTTCGTGACTTGAGATGCTCAGCATGAGCCTTAGAACTTCTATACCCTTTGCCACAAAGACCACAACTGTAGAGCATCGGGGTTTCACTCAAATTGTTTTTCTCCTGAGCAAGTGCAGCTTGTCTCGCTATAAATAACGCTTCTGTCACTCCAGGAACCCCGGCTACCTGATTGTTTTCAAGAAAATTTCATAACGTATTAAAGCTCATCAAAACATGTCCGTCATTGAATAGGACGGTAAACCACAAAGCAACAACAACACGTCACAACATATCAAGCGAAAACATTTCGTCAACCGAGTACCGCCAAGACAGCATAATGCATAGGCATTTAAAATTTAACTCAATAAAAACTCAAAATACAAGCATATTGATACAAACTTAGTGGCAAGAATCGAGACCAAGAAACGACTAATTACGCAGAATCTCTCATCCTATATGAACATGATAATAACAGCTCAGTTTCATCAGAAATGCATACATAAACTAATAACTGCTCATAAAACAACATATTACAACATCAGCAGGTCTAAAATTCAATCAGCAATCAAAATTTTCAAACATCTGTTTGGAATCAAGGATACAAACAAACAAACACGAACTTTATATTTGTCCAGAAGATTGGATTCGTTTCCTCAATCCAGCGCTGGGGAATTTCCAATCCTTCGGATTTCCCATCTCAAAAAGGCAATAAATCGAATAAAAAACATCAAAAGCAAAGCAACACCCTAGAAAAAACATCAAAAGCAAAGCAAAACCCTAGAAATTAAGCTGTAAGGAGAGAATAAAAAGAGAGGGGACCTTGCGCTTGAGATTGTAGCGGTGCCATTCTGACTTGTAATGGAGCTTCTGCTCTGAGTCGTCCAGAAACTCCTTGTTGCAAGAGTTGCATGTTAGCCCTGACATTCTCTCTCTCTCTCTCTCACTCTCTGTGGTTTGGGATACGACGGGGGAGGAAGGAGGCGGCGGGTGGGTTTTATGGGATCAAAGAAAAACGTGCAACGGCTCGCAGTCGGTGAAAATTGAAACGGTGTATCAAAGAGAAGAGCGTCGTCTGCCAGCCACCAGGTGTTTGATTGCGCAAGCTTCAGGGAAAGCGTATCCCAAACCCAATCCCCATGGGCCTGAGTTTTGGCCCATTAGTTTGGGCTCACGTGCTTGGGGGTCAATATCTTAAATGCGATAAATGTTTCTTTTCGCTATTTTTCTAATAATGAAAATGAAAAATTTGAACTTGAGATATTTTTCAATGTGAAACGGAGTATCTAGTCACTCAATAACTAGTTCATAGCTGGATTCCCGTTATTCAAGAGTACACTTGTAGATGCTGGAGGGAGGAGTTGAGTTTCATATAACATTAAACACAACCTAAGTTGCACTTGAGTTTCAAATAACATTAAACACAACCTGAAACAGTCTTATCTTATTGAATATTGTTACTTTAATAAGAACAATTTGGACATTTGAATCATAGAATGTCTAAAGCATAACTAGATTTGTATGTCACACTCATGCAGCACAAATTCTCCAAACTATCAAGATTACTCATTTTATAAATTTCAAGTTGAACTTGTTTTTAGATTTTCCAAACCATCAAGGCTACTCATTTTATGAATTTCAAGTCGAACTCGCTTCCGGCTGAATGATACACTGTTATGACCAATTAACCTAATTTGTGTATATCGTATGTCATTTTAACTCAAAATCCAAAATGATACCCGAATTTATATTTATTGTTCTTTAAAAATTCTTCAATAATCTAAAAAATTTCACATTTACAAATCACTGACAGACAAATTTGCAGAACAGTCATTACCCCACATGTCATAACGAAAACGACGTCTCCAACTCCTCTATGTAACAACCAAATTCCCCCAATTCTTTGCCCAAAAAAAAAAAAAAAAAAATTCCGAATTCAAATGAAAAACGACATGGGAATCCAAAGAACGACGACATTCATCATCACGAATCTATCCGAGAAGCACTCCTCCAAAATCCGGCACCGTGAAACCGGTCCCATATCTCCTTCTCCAACAAATCAGCGGCATCCGATTCATCCTCGCTCCCCTTCCCGTCGTCAACGTCGCTGTAACTGCTCGCTCTCCTGAATAATTCGTCGTCGTCGCTATAAAGCCCGCCGCCGGCGAGCCCATTGGGCCTGGGCTGCAACAATGCCTTTTTCTGGGCCGCCAAGCACCGCCGCTTATTCTTCCTGTGGGCCAAGGCCTTCCTGCAAATCCCTTTCGGGACCTTGTACACCGTCAGTATCAGCAAATTCATCACGCTGCATGGGCAGCAGCAGCACACCGCCGCACACTCAGCCGCGGCGCCGCCTGCTACCTCGCCGACCCTGCGCCTCTCGCGAGGTGGAGGCCGGGTTAGAGGTGGCGATTGAAGCAAAGCATCCCGCGTCATCCCCGAGTCGAATCGAAGAGGATGTTCTAGATTGATCGGGAATTGAATGGAAGAAGGGGTCAATGGAGAAGTGGAGGCGACTGGGAATTTTGGGGATTCATTGAGGGAAAGATAAATTTCCCCAGAAAGCTAGAGAATCCAAAACCCAAAATTCAGAGAGAGAGAGGGGACGACAAATGCGAATGGATGGCGAGAGAGGGAGAGAGCGAAACGGAGGGGAGACAGATCAGGAGAAGAGAGCGAAACGGATGGGATCCAGGGAGCGAATCTTTAGGCAAAATCGTAATTTTCTTGAAGAATCACTAGTATAACTTTTATTTTTAATTTAATTTTTTCACCCTTTTATTGATGGAAAAAATGTTACTTTTTAAAAACTTATCCGAAACCAATAAAAAAACTGAAAGAAAAGAAACCCATCAAAGTGTTATAATATATCTAAACTACATATTAATATAATTTTTGTTATTTAATTTTTTATAACACAAAAAAATGATAGATAATAATGTAATTTCATAAATCTAAATTTTATTGTTTTTAATAACATTAGCTGCTCAAGCTTTTGATGTTAATATATATTTAATATTAAAAAAATACACACACAAAAAGAAAAAGACAAAGACCTCCGACTCGCACCACAAAAACATATAATGTTCATAAATACAAAATAGGTAGGCATGTACTAATATGGTCTTAGTTAAAGTGTTAGGCTGTGTTTTATATAAAAAATAAATAAATTAAAAAAAAAAAAAAAAAGGTTAAAGTGCTAGACCAATATACTTTTTTTTTACAGTTAAGTTTGAATTTTAATAAATAGATAAAAAAACTGATATGGTTGACATATTATATTAGACTATAGTACTTATAGTACATATTATAATTTGAGTTAATTAATAAACACATCTCTTTCAAAAATTGAAGAACAACACTAAGGTACAACCCCTTATTCACGTCAATTATGATTAATAAATCTTGACCATATACATGCCATAATCATTATTGAGGTATACCTGCCTCCTTATCCTCCTCAATTGTTATTGTATGCCGATGATGTTTTACCACAATGCTAGAAAGTGGTGTATTGGTGCTAAAACACAAGTCTTTTATTATTCAAATATCAATCTCCTATAATAACTAAAAACTAAAAACATGAAGGTATCGGATTTGAAACACGCTGCTGATGTGGAAGCTAGATTTGTGGCCAGGAAGAGGTTGAAATGCCTCTGTGAGTCTTCTCAACTTCTGAAATGAATGGATAATTATAGTTTGCCACCAATTATCCTCATTTTTTAAAAAAATATAATAAAAATAATAATAATAACTAACTAATCCGCTAATACTATCATTTTGCTAAAAGACAAATGATTTATTTGAGATATATGAATGAGCAAACGAAGTAAAAAAATAAACGGTTCTGATTGGTTAATTGGTTGATTGGTTGAGTACACCAACAATTACCTCAAGTAAAGGGTTCGAAATTGAAAATCCAAAAGAATAAAAAAAGTAGGTCCGAATAAAAAAAATAGTAACAACGGTCACAAACCTCAACGAATAGAATTTTCTGAAGAGACAGGGATTTTGCCAAAAACGCACACAAACTCCCAACTCCCATTTTTAACCTCCACAACGGACTTCTATCTATTTCCCATTCCCTCCCTTTTTGCCTCCCCGCGACAATGGACACCACCGCCACCGCTACCACTTCCAGATCTCGCCGAGCCCTAGACTCCCGATCTGGCGGGAAAATTTTCCGTCCTCGACGGTCCGCCGGTGCCAGGACTCCCTACGGACGCCCTAGGTTGGTCAATCCCGCACCACCCGAAAACCCTAATTGGTTCTCCAGGCTCATCTACTCGCCTACTCGTAAGATTGCCAGCGGTGCCGGGAAGATTATTTCCTCCGTCTTTGGTCCTGACTCTTCCTCATCTTCTTCTTCCTCTTCAGGTAATCTAATTTTGCATTTGTATGTGTTTACATTGATTGCATGAAGCTTAATTTGTTTTTTTTTTTGGTAATTTCAGAGTAGGAATGCCTGAAATCGATAGTGTACTCATTTCCGATAGTTACAATGCGGCAGGTGTGGGTCTATTAGGTTTTGGTGCTAAGAAAATTAGAGATTGTTTACTGCTCCAATTGTGTGCTACATGCTTCGAATTTTGGAGCACATTAAAATACAGTGGCAATTTTTTTTTCGAATTCATAATCATTATAATTTGAACATAGCAAAGTTTTTGCAGATTTCGGTTTATTTTATATATGAAGTGTATGGAAGTTTTGTGCTTTAATGAAGAAAAAAGAATGCTGGACTGTCGGTTTTCGTGGCCTTTTACAAGAGTTCTTGTCTATTTTTTTCAGAGGATGGGGCTGATGATGATGATGATGAAGATATCTCGATGCAGGAAGATGATGGATTGAATAAGGTAATGGTTCTACATGTTGTATTGTTGTGTTGTGTTGAAGGCATCATTATGCTTATAATTGTGCAATTCTTTTCAGCACTTGAAAGAACTTGTACAGTTGTACTAGATGTTTTAAACAGTAATTTCATGCCCATGGATAAATGCACGAATTTAGGAAGCATGCGAATTAAGAACTTGGGAATTAGCGTACTTTCACTCGTGTAGTGGGATCTAGCAGACTAGATCATGAATTATGGTTCAAAACAGAGGTTGTAGAAAATTGGTTTAGAATTTGTATACTCGGGGTGCAAAAGTTTAGGGTTGTGGGGCTGATAAAGAATATAAAGGTGGTTGTGGTAATTTCTTATAGCAGTGCAGGCGGAACTTTAAGGATGCTTCCAATAGGTTAATTAAAGTTATGGAAAAGATTGTGGTAAGCAATTTAGTTGAGTAAGAAAAGGATATGATAATGATATGGGCCTACCAAGAATTTTGAGAGGGATAAATTTCAGGGCTGTCCTGGGACTATGAACTGTAACAAAGTACCTGTAGTTAAACAACTTTTTCTTAGATTTGGGAGTTTCATTTTGTTGTATTAGACATGCAATGTTGATTTTTGTTGTTGAATTAGAGGAATGGGACATCAGAAGAGATCAAGTTCCTTGGGAAGGAGCCCCCATCAACACTAGGGAAGAGCGACAACAAGCATGTAATTGAACAACTGCTTATCCAGGAGACCTTCTCGAGGTAATGCTGCAGCTCCTTGATATTCAAGATGAAACATTATACTTTTATATTTCACATTTGGATTTTCCTTGGTTATTGCTCGCTTCGTTCTTCTTCCACTTCTTATATTAGACTTGTAATGTTTGTTAGACATTTGTTTGTGTCTTTATAATATTCTAATTTATTTCCTGCATTGAGCTCTATAAGTTCTTATTCTACTTCAATGAATCTCAGGTTATTGAACCTTGATTTCTAGAATATTTTCTTACGGATTTATGCTTAGCTGTGGTTGTTCACACTTTAAGTTTAGGACTTGCATTGAGTCATTGACCTTGTCATCAATTTAAGCACCTTACCATGAGTATAATGTTTGTAGGATTTATGCACTGTTTTGGTTTGAAATCTGTGTACAAGAGAGGTTTCCATAAAATGTTGTGTATCATGCAACCTTTCTGCTGATTATTCTTTATTCTTATTAATCAGTTATTTGACTTCAACGTTGCCTTTGACCAGGGAAGAATGTGGTAGATTAATAAAGATTATTAAATCAAGAGTCGTAGGTTTTACAAATGCTGAAGATGCAGAGAATACAAGACCAGGTGAGACACCTAACAAAACAGTTGCCAGTGAAAGTGGTTACAGTTATAGGTCTAGAAATTTTACCAATTTTCGACATTTGAATTTTGGTGTTAATTGCATTGCAGATGTAGAGTCTCCTGCTATGGAGGCAAAAAAATGGTTGAGTGAGAAGAGATTGGGATCAACTTCAAAGCCAGTTTTGGATCATGGGACCCACACCTTGAGCTCTCTCATGTTTCCTCAAGTTAGTGCTCCTTCCTCTGGTATTAAATCATGGCTATCAGTGCTCCTTCCTCTGGTATTATATCATGGTTGTCATGTGCTCTCTGTCTCTTCCTCATGTCTGGCATTTTGTTTTTGGGATGAAATCTTCTATAAGTTGTCTTTTTATGTCAAATAAGAAATTGTAAGCTTTCTAATCTTTTGATGAAAGAAAACTACACCGAAGATATATGATATACCTTCTCCTTGAGCTTATGTTAGCAATTTGTTGAGGTACCAAAGTTTGATGTATTACAATTTAGTACTTTCAGTATACCTACTTTTCAGTATACCAGTGTGTTTTCTAAGAAAGAAAAGGAGAATACTACCTTGTTCACATTTTCAATTTGTTTCTGTTGGTGCAGGGTGGTGAAGACGAAGGTGGTTCACCAGTGGATGTGGCCAAAGTGTATATGCGGGCACGTCCTTCATGGGCATCTCCTTCTATTAAGCATGGAGAACTGAGATCTCCGTCATCAATAGGGATGCAACGTTTCGACGAAGAAACCCCATATTCAACTGGTGGCAATTCTGCGCCTACATCCAAGGTACCATTTGGAAATTTTCTCGGCATATCTTTTTCGCTTTTGGGTTTGTGACAGGTAGGATTTAGATTCTAGACTCGAACATTATTGAAAAAGTTAAATTTTAACTTGTTTTGTAATCAAGGATAGCTTGTAAAGTTGTAAAATGCAGAGAAACCCTTGAAAAAGTTAGTGATTTAATATTTTGGCAAACAAGCCAAACATTAACCTAGAAAGATGGAGTAGAGTGGGTATTCACGTGTCAAGACAACTGGTTGGGTCCAATGACGGCATTGTCACTCACATCTGGGAACATGTTGAAGCATGACAGAATTTTTTTTTTCTCATTTATTTTTTTAAGAAACTACGGAATTTTACTAAAACAATAGAAGGAATTACAAGAAGTGGATAAGAAATCCACCAACTAGAAAAACTAGCTAAGACCTTTCAAGTAGGACCACTTTACTACTAACTAAGCTGAACCAAATTCATTTTACGGCTGCTAACACATCCATCACTATATAAGAAAAAGAATAATCCCCGAAATCATTTGAAACTGATGCCCAGAGGGCTGCCCAATATCTAACTCTACCCCATAGTTCCTCTACTTCCACTCCCTTATAATCCTTAAAAATTCTTCTATTACTCTCCATCCAAATGTTCCAAAAAACTGTCGACACCAAACAGCTCCACAAAGCTTTAGCTGTCTTCCCTTTTCCTAAAAGCCTCAAAGTTGGTGTTTAGAAGCTCAAAATATCCCCTTGGAATAACCCTCTTGCTCTAACTTCCTTGAACAATTTTCACCACAGCTGTATCGAGTGAGAACACTGGAGAAAAAACATTATTAACACTCTTCTCCTCTGATTTAACAAACTGCCCCGCTGAGGAGAAATGCAAATGAAATGCCTTCGCTTTTGAACTTGTTCACAGGTGTTGACCTTCCCAATAGCCACTAACCACGCAAGCACTTTGACTTTTGGAGGAGCTTTTGATTTCCAAATCTGAGTAGGGTGGAAAATGTTGAACAGTTCCATGTTGCACAATAAGGAGCTATAGGATTTGCATGTGAACGATCCCGACCCGTAAATGTGTAGTGGCCATTTATTAAGAAAAATGCAACTTAAATAAGTAAAACCTTGGATGTTGATGTTGAACCTCACATGTTTCTTTCTTTCTTTCTTTCTGTTTTCTGTGTTTTAAATGAGTGAAACAGAAATTAGGGAATGCCTCTGGTTATTGATATGATTGTGCTAATTGATTTTAATGCACAGCCGAAAAGGGACGCCCCAGCTAGTGGGTCCTGGAATATTCAGGAGGAAATACGAAGAGTGCGATCTAAGGCAACTGAAGAATTGCTGAGGTCCCTACCTTCTACCAGAATTGATTGGTCCGCATCTGCTTTAGAAAAAAGAAGTGTCTTGGGCTCTTTGCCAGGTGGCCAACGAGAAGATGATGTGGGAGATAAACTTCACAATTGTAAAAATGCCATAGGTTCGAATTTGAACTTGTCCTTAGGAATAACTGCATCCAATGGCTCTGACGGTATCTTTTCTTTACTGGCATGAAGTAAATTTGTTGGTTTAGTCCAATAATCTTGTCCTCAGTAGATGAATCAATTGCATCATTCTATAGTTTATGGGAGCCTTTATTGGCTTTCCAAAATAGTCTTTAAACGCATTTTAATCTCAAAATTTGTTGATACAATTATTAGTAACACTTCTATGAAACTGATATTATCAAGAAAGGAGAAAAATTGTGGAGAACAGTTGTGCAAAATGAATATTTTGGAGTGCCAATAACACTCTCCTGTAACTTTTTGAATGTAAGGAAATTAACACTTAGGAATCTAACATGTGGGACTTCTGTTTCAGTTTTGGCGAAGACACAATAGGGGTTCTCATTCTCTTAGGTCAACCAATAAAAATGTTGTCTTTAACAATTTCCAAATACACTTTAACCAAAATGAGTTTAGAGAAAAATGAACAAAAAAGTAGTGCAAGGTGACCATTTTGGAGAGCCATTAACATCCCCCTTAATTTTTAGAGTATAAGGAAATTAAATTTTTGAAAATCTAACATGCAGAACTCATCTTCTGCTCTTTCAGTTTCGGAGAAGGCAGAGTATGGATTGCAGAAACAAGATTTGCCACTTCCGGTAATTATCAGTTCTAAAGAAATTCACCAGAACTGTTTATGCATATATATCATTTTGTTGCAATTTGACTACTAACATATGGTTTGTTTAATTTTCTTTAAACTCAATTTAAGTCTGATGAAGATTGAGCTAGTAGATATCTTTTTATAACCTTTTCTTTTCTTTTTGTGAAGGATTCAGATGCCGCTTCTATGGATGGCAAGGGTGATGCTTCTTCTAATTTTCACTTTTATCTTCTTCCGATGGATAACGATCATGCTTATTGTGCATGTTACTGCATATGTATGGGTATATTATACCATCTAATTCATCTTTTACTCACTAAGTTTATCCATCGAATAGGTACTCAGAATGCCTTAGAGGAGATGTTTAGCTCTGGACAACGACTCGAGGCATCTGAATATATCAAGACTGCTCCAAGGTTAGCTCCTTCACACAATTGTAGCTTAATTAGCCAAATAAAATTCCGTCAACTAATTCTTATAGCTCCTTCACAAATCATTCAATGCGTACAAAAATTGTTATTAGAATACAGGTTCCATTTTAAACATCAGCTTGTAGTTAACCTAAAGTTGTTGGTAATGCATGTCAACTTGTAGTTTAATTAAAGGTGTCATCTGAACAAAAGATGACAAGACATGGCAATACTTATCGGGTAACATCTACTCTGTCTCCAAATAACACGACTTCTGTGTTTGAGGAGCAGTTCTAAATAAAACTTAAAAATGGGCAAGTAATAGTTGATATTTCATTTTCTAGCGTCCACATATTTTTGTAGTGACTCAGTAACTACTATTGTTGAGCAAGTCTGATACAAGGGCCAAGCTGTGCCTAAGTCCCATTCTGTACTGTGACTAGTTTGGGTTGGTGATTTTGATCTTTCCCTCGGGCCCCCTCCTCTTTTATTTTGCCTTTTTGTGCCCGATAAGGTCTATAGTTGTTTTGGCTTATAATATTCAAATCCCCTTATCTGTCACAGTGATGCTGGTGGTGGTGATTTTGATGGACATAAGGACACAAGTGGGTCTGAACAACAAAATCCAGTGGTCGGAGGAACCATACAAGGTGAACTTTTTCGACCCTGTAGTTGTTTGGGTTATATAAGCACTAGACACATTTGTGTTGTTATTGTACAGGTTATACGTTTCATGTTGTGCTGGCCATTTGGGCATTCACATGTATTGTATTAATATGTATATGCTGCAAAGGAATTTCGTTTGTCTGGCTACATAACTAGTGTGAACTGTGTATTTACTGTTCGGTGGTATATCATCGCTAAATATGTGCTTTAAAATCAGAATGTAAACACTTTATTCAGGTAGGACTTATTCAAAAGACTTAATACTATGGGAGGACAAGTTAAACTCACGTGGTCTTCTTTTCCAATGGAATAATATGAGCTATTACCTAAAACTATTTTACTTGACGTGCCATGCATGATATTCTTACCATTTTGTGTCAGCAAGTAATATAATTCCAGATTGCCATTGTTTTAGTGGGATGGAAGACTATGTATGTAGCTAGGGTGACGTAGTTCTATTTTGTACTGAATAATTTATCCTGTCTGAAAGTTGGCATTCATAAATCTTTGAACTTCGGTTGTTAAATAGTAGTTGATATTTGACTAGGCATTTGGTTGTGCATCAGGCGTTCGTATTTATATTCAATTTACTTTGCAGTTCCAGATTCAAAATTACACGATGCAACATGCTCGATGACAGAAGTGACTGCATCAAGAAGTGCTTATACCGCAAATGGTTTCCCTTCTTCAGTAGCTGGGTAAGCAGTCGTTGACGTCATTGTTTTGGTGCTGCATTATCTGTGTAATCTTATTGCATTGGCTTTTCCTTGTTTCAGTTTGTCTGCACGGTTGAATACAGCAGAAAACTCCGTGCTCAACGGGGAAAGTAATCCAGTCAGCTCAAGTCATGAGATCGCTGCTACAGATCTCACTTTAGATGACATCCGTGAGTTTTTGAATGAACCTACTGTCGAGGTCACCAACATAAACGAAAATGATATTGGTGGCACAAAGGAAAACGATGGCGCTTATTTGAATGAAGCTACTGTTGAGGTCCATGAACTGATTGAAAATTATATCGATGTCACAAAGGACAATGATTTTGTTGCCAGTGGCTCCCAAAACAGCTATAGCATGCCCGATGACTTATCACAGGAGCTGACCCAGCCAAGCCCGGTAGCCAAGACTGACACTGTTGTGGAGAAGCAGAAGGGAAAGAGACTGACCAGATACAACAGGAGAGGCCGGTCACGGGGCAAATAACACTGAATTGTGGCTTCTGTACCTTACAGTGTAATTTATTTTGTACTAACCCATGTAATTTTGCAAGTGTGTTTCGTTTTGTTCAGGTTCCAGGTCAACAGGGTAGGAATCACGCCGCGGGTTTTAGCCCACGTTTAGCTAGACTTAAGAGTTAGAGTGTTCCTATTTGATTGTAAGTGTGAAAACCACCTGTTTGAGTATGCAAAATGTGTTGTAACAGCTCTCCTAATTTTCTCATGTCGGCTGAACCTTGCAATTGTAATGATTTTCCTGTTTATGAACTGACTAATTCGAGCTTATCGTTCGATCTCGGTTGGATCTCTTCCGAGCATCATCCTCCTTGTAGGCAATTGTTAAGTGTCTGAAACTGCTGGGACCTCTCGACCTTCGTATGATTTACACTAATTGGTTTTGAGCCCCTTTGTTAACCAAAAAGGCGATTGCAAGTGCAAAGAATTAATTTAAAGTTCCAGGCTAGTATGCTACATTGAATTGTAATAAACAAAACAATTCATAATAATCTTTTGCTCCAACAAACATAGGCGTAGCTGTATTGGCTAGAACGGAAGTGCATCTCCTAGAACACCTAAGTCCAAATCTCTACTTTGTAAATTAGTTTAAACTTTTAAAGTAACATATCGTTTTTTAGAAGTAAATATATATATATATATTTTTTATCACAAATGGTTTGAAAGTAGTCTAAGCAATCACTTTATGTTGCGGATTCGATTTCACTGATCCCTTCTCTTTAACAATTTTTTTTTTTTTAACAAATACAAAAAATATTATCCCAATTAAAGGAAGTGAAGTATTTCTCTTTAGCAATTTGAACCCTTTTGTTCAAAAAAATAAAAATAAAATTTTAAACCCTTAAAACTTGCCCAAAAAATTACAGAGTCACTGTCGTATACACATCAAAGATCAAAGAGAGAAACGCGGTAGAGTCTCTCAGATACATTTTCACAAACACCATGGATGCGCAATTAGCCCAGCAGGGGAGCTCGAGAACAACATAAACCCCATGGACACGCCGCCGAGCGTTGCGAAGCCGAAGGTGGGCACGACGGCCGACGCCATATTCTACTACGACGAGGCAGCGCAGGCCAAGTTCCAACAGGAGAAGCCCTGGGCCAACGACCCCCACTACTTCAAGCGCGTTAAGATCTCCGCCCTTGCGCTCTTGAAGATGGTGGTGCACGCCCGTTCTGGCGGGACCATCGAGTTCATGGGCCTCATGCAGGGCAAGACCGACGGCGACGCCATTATCGTCATTGATGCTTTTGCTTTGCCGGTTGAAGGGACTGAGACTAGGGTTAATGCTCAGGCCGATGCGTATGAGTATATGGTGGAGTTCTCCCAGACTAACAAGCAGGTCTGTGATTTTTTTAGATTATTTTTTCGAATTTATTAGTATTTTTCAATGTTTAGAGCTTGAACTTTTGGGCTTTCAGAAACCCTAGTTGCTGTTTTTGTTGGGCTATTGCGTCATTGAATTGCTGCTTTGGTGGAAATTGCTCAATGTGGTATCGAAAAACCCTAGTGCCACTCTAAAATCCTAAATTCTAGAGCTGGCTTGCTGAGCGTTTTATTGTGTAGGCAGGGCGGTTGGAGAATGTGGTTGGGTGGTAACATTCTCATCCGGGTTATGGATGCTGGCTTTTGGGTATTGATGTTTCAACACAGATGCTGAACCAGCAATATCAGGAGCCCCTTTTGGCCGTTGTTATTGATCCAACTCGGAGAGTGTCTGCTGGAAAGGTTGACATTGGTGCATTCAGGACATACCCAAAAGGATATATCCCTCCAGATGAACCCGTCTGAGTATCAGACCATTCCACTGAACAAAATTGAGGACTTTGGTGTTCACTGTAAACAGGTTATAATGTTATTATTCTAGAGTTCTTATGCGGAACTTTGGTTTGTAGTGGGTCTAAAACTTAATTTGTATTATTCTCTGGATATCACTTATTTCAAGTCTTCTCTTGACACCCACCTCTTGGACCTGCTTTGGAACAAGTATTGGGTGAATACTCTTTCCTCCTCACCTTTATTGGGTAATGGAGACTATGTCGCTGGACAAATTTCTGATCTAGGTACTTTCTTACCCGTCTCAGATTACCTATTCAAGTATTTTCCATACATGTTTGATAGATTATGTACTGAATATTAAGTTGTGTCCTTTGCATCATGCCAGCTGAAAAGCTAGAGCAAGCAGAGAATCATTTGGCTCATTCTCGCTTTGGGCCATTAATTACACCCCCACAAAGAAAGAGAGAGGTAACTCTCTCCTCCCATTTCCCTGTATCTCGCTCATTTGATTTAGAAGAACCGTCTTTTATATGGATTTTGACCCATACAGCTATAACTGTTACTCACACGCGCACACACACTCTTACTTAGAAGGTTAGGGAAGGAAGGTGGTCTGGATTCAGCGCCACTCCTTATATTCATGTAGTCTATACAAATACACACCTTTACTATTTGCATCATTTTATATGACTATGCTTGTAGATGTAAATGCAAATGTGATGTGTGAACATGATGTCATTATCCCGTTTAGTAAGTTTTATTTATTTATTATATTTCCGAAAGAAACCAGGAAACAGAAATACAGCTCTTTTGAATCTTCTCTGCAACATTGATTTCTGTTTTAAAACCTAGCAGCCATGGATTTCTGTTTGCCTGCCACTCACTAAAAAAGAAAACTTTTTTGTTCAACAAAAATAGCATCCATAGTTCTTCTGCTATCCTTTTTATGTGGGTCCCGCTTGCCCCCAAATAGAGGCCTTTTGGATCCAGATAATGTAACAATGCATGCCTGGGTGATTTCATTCCTGTGCAGGACAGATTTGGGATTGAGAGAAGGATGTTACATAATGAGAATCTTGTTACTGTTTTAACCACCATTCGAGTTGCAGATTACCTAATGGCTTAATGAATTTGCAGGAAGAATCCCAACTTGCCAAAATTACTCGTGACAGCGCGAAGATAACTGTCGAGCAGGTGCATGGTCTGATGTCACAGGTAACCCCTGGCCGTGCCAATCTTCATATATCCTCTGTTTGCTTTGTGCAGTGGGTAGCGTCCATTTTGTCCTTAATTAACAGAGTTTGCTCTTATTGCTTTTTGCTCGGGTTATCAAGGACATTCTATTCAATTCTGTACGTCAATCCAACAGATCTCTCCTATTCACAGAACCATCATCCGACCCCGAACCAATGGTTGAAAGTTGATTTTGGCATTCGGGCAGCAAGACTGATGGCGGAGATGCTTCACTGCCTGAAGGAAAACTTGATGGAGTCCGGATCACTGTTTATGATCCCTATAGTTTGAGTCCATTGTCGCTTACATTCTTTTACTTGCTAACACATTTGTAAATCCTCGAGGGGTTGACGCGTAATTTTTTTAGTTTTTTCTTCCGGAATTCCCATTTTGCAAATCCTAGTATCTATATACTGTATTTCGTGGATGGTTTGACAGAATTAATCATTATACTGGAAGAAGCCTTTGGGGCTCAAATGGTGAATCATGTTACCTTTAGTATTTGCTTTGGTTTTGTTCAACTCTTACTCGGGCAACAAGTCAATGACCAACAGCTAGTCTTGCAATTTGAAATTGCCAACATTTTTCTGAGCCCCCAACTGCCTCATGGAAATATGTTTGGTGTTGTAAGCTCAATTTTTATTCAAAATCTTTGCACAACCAAAATTTCCCCCTTTTTATTCGGGTTAGATTAACTCATATAACTTAGCTTGGCGACGTTTTCCTTTTTAACATTGTTTGACTCCTTACATGTAATGAGTCACTCAAACTCTGATGTCTGTAAGGAAGAATGATTACTTACATTTTTTAACACTGTTTGACTTCTTACATGTAACGAGTCGCTCAAATTCTGATTTCCTACAATTTCAAACTAATACGCCATATTCTAACTTGGTCACAAATCATCAAACAAAAACAAAACTAGGTCACAAACAAAAAAAGTTATAAAACTCTTATTGGGTTATATTAGGTATCATCTTTAGACATCAACGTACACAAAAAAAGCCCCTCGCGTACAAATTTTGACCTGAGATGGTCAAGTGGATCACTATTTGGTCTGGTCCACTGCTAATTGTGAAGGAAATTCCGAAATTCGAATAGATGGAGCACCATAACATCAGCATGCATGCTACAAAAGATTTAAGGAAGAAAGTTCCAAAAAATACCAAAAATTATAGGTACAAAAGAAATGGGCGGTGGGCAAGAAAATAGGAAGGATGAGGAAGGCAAAGGCAAAGGCAAATGCAGTTGCTATTTATACAAGTATCAAATAAGATTGGAGGAAATAAATTAAACGACTATTGAGGGAAATAACAGACACCCCTCTTTATGTAGATATACATATGCACACGCACAAAATTATATATATATATATATATATATATATATATATATATATGAATGTATACACTAGTGGCTTTCACATGTAAAGAAAACAGAAGGCTCGTGGGTCTTTTTCCCACTTTGTGTAGGTTTAGTTGCAGGAGATTATAATTATGCAGACGATGCTGCTGCTGCAAAGTTGGGACCTCAAAGCCATCTTATTCACAATCACCATTCCACTATGGAGAGAGAGAGAAAAGCTCCAAGAGCTAAAAGCTTTATCTCTTTAGTGGGTTTCTTTTGTGGACTCTCTCCCCAAGCAAATCATGGATTTCATGACTTTCCCCCCACCTTTCCTCTCTCTCTCTCTCTCCCCACCATATTTTGGGTAGGATTAGATTCTTACAAGATAACAAAAAGGTCGGTTCACAGGCAATGGTCCTAAATCTTTCGATGTAGCCAGCCTTGTGTTTTGTGTACAACTTTCTCTGCACTTGTGACAACTTCACATGCCAAAAACCCTCCACCACTAACTGGCTAGGGTTAGGTGTATGCCCTTGTGTGCTCTAATCTTTGTACCCTAATAGTTGGAAACATTTCATGAGCTTAGGCTTTTTCCAAATACAAAAATCTAATGTTTTACATTTGTACACTTTCCCACCACCAAGTGTGGTTTGCTACCTACATT